CTGATAATTGGGTTGCCGGAGTTCTCCGACTGGTCGTTCTTTTAGGCCTTTTTAATCCTCAGATTCGTTAAGTTCTCTCTATTGGTGAAAGGGTCCAAATTAGTCGGTCGCAAGTGAGATGGAAGAAGAACTATATGTCCAGTGGCCTGAGTTGTGTGGGAGTTGCTTCCAGTAATGTCGAAGTATACATACTAATCATATACAGTTCGGTATTCACAAGTAATTGCGTGCCAGAAGTCCCTGGCATGGCTAATTCGCCCTGAGATCCCAGACAAGTGCCTTTTTTATAGGAATCGGGAAATAGAAGGTTCAAACAGGTATTGGAAAAGCCAAAATACTTTTGGAGTGCTCCAGCGAGTGGAGCCCTAATATCGTTTCAAGTATCCGACCCCGGAAGTGGAAAATACACCGGGAAACGGAAATGTTCGTACCTTACTAGTGCCATTCTTTAGGTTTGCTACTGGCTCTTTTCTAGAAAATGAAGCCTATTATATGGACTGCTTGCAAAAAATGAAAAACTTTCAGTAATCCTGAAAATTTGTAATGATGGTAGATTCCATGGGGAAAATCACAAGAATTGGGTTGTGAGTAAGTATGAGAATGAGAACCGTGACTTTTACGCTTTTTATTGCATTTAATGTATTACTAAGTGAATTTCCCTAGGAGTGTTGAGTAGGACCCATGACACCGGTAGCGTATGCCCTGGATCCGAAGACCGAAATGTGGAACGATTCCTTTCCAGGCCACCGAACTATCCATTTCAAGGTTGGGATCAGTTACAATAGATGAGTAATGTGGGAGGATGAAAGTGGCCAATTCTGCATTCGCTTTTATGTTCACTGGATAAGCCATAAGCTCGTTAAAAGGCATGGCCGTTCCATGCAGATGTTCAATTCATGGCGCAACCCTTGTGGGCTAGTCTTCATCGCACGATCTGAAGCTTATTGCCTTATTTACGTTGTACCTATTGATAGTATTCCTGGTTGTGCAACTCGGCTGATAGCTCGTTTTTGGCCGATTAATATGGCGCTTTGTTGCCCGTCCATCACTTGGCCGACCGGCAACGAATGGGTTGGTGATTCACACGATCGCCCAGATGGGTACCCATTATCCATCCTTTATTGCTGCGCTTCTTCACTCTGATGATCTCATGCATAGTCCCCCAAAGAAAGAGTCATAGTCTGGGAATCTCTTGATAATGTCGTAAGGTAGGAGAATGGAGTGAAAACAGTTTTCACAACTTGTTATTCACCCGAACCGGAGCCTAACCATTGCCACATGGTTGGATAAGGATGACTCCGTTGCGTAGTTACGCGAGAGGAAATTGCTTTGGACGGTTGCTAGCTTCAAAGCTCTCTTGGTCCTTAG